CCCCCCCCCCCCCCCCCCCAAAGTCGTAATATTTCACTTCAAACTTCCAACGCAAAATAAATTTAAATAAAAATAAACTGAAAACATAAACCCAGATGCAAGTCAAGATTTCTTAGGCAATAAAAGGGTAGAGACAAAAGAAATTTCCAGTATCATCCAATCAGAACATCATTAAATCCAAAATCATTTTTTATTTGGGTCCATCGATATCATGCAGTATCCACAGCAGACAATCAAAAACTAATTTGAGCTAGTAGGACGTAAATACCGTTGACAAGCATTATTTTAACACAAACATGAATGTCATAAAATAAAAACCTCCAAATCTTGAATATAGTTATTACAACTTAATTACTGATGGAGCCAAATTAGGAGCTTCAGATTGATTGATCCAAGAATTAAAAAAATAAAAACTGAAATCTCCGAGAACCCATTTCTTTCCTTATCTTAAGTAGATTAAAAAACCAAAAAAAAAAATTACAAAGAAAATGCATAGTTTGAGATGCAAAGAAGACCTGAAGCAACAAGGGTTTTTTGCAAGGAACCCTTGGCAAAAGAAGGGGAAATTGTGGAAGCAAAGAGGACAAGAAAGAAAAGCAGGTTCATGTTCATGTTCTTGTTCATAACCATGGACGATGATGATTAACGATGTCGGGTTCAGGCATCAGGCTTAAGGTTGTTTGTTTGTTAAGTTCTGATTTATCGGTGTCACTCACGTGACGTGAAAATTTGAAATTTTCATATTCAAGAAATGTTATCACTTTTCTCTCCTTTTTGGGCTGTAAACATAAGCTGGAAGATACAACTTCCTACTATATGTGGGCTGCCCCATTCAATCATCACCTATTTATGACTTTAGAAGGCCCATCAGGTTTTCATTTATTCTTTGTAAAAACTACTTTTCGTATCATATAAAGCCATTTTCACCTTTACAAACTTGTTAAATTGATTTTTTTTTTCAAATAAACTTTATGCTAAAAACAGTTCTCTTCTACAAAAAAAAATAATATATTATGAGCCATTTTGCTTTATTAATAATATATCAGTGGCCTGGAAATTTTCTTTACTACATCATTAAGTGTGTGAAATAACTAGTGCAAGACTATTTTAATTTAAACACTCGTCTTAAATTCAAAGTATTATCTATAGAATAAAGACCTTTATAGTCTACACAAAAAAATAATGACATGAATATTTCACCAACTTAAGTGTGAGTCTTCTCGTACATGAAAATATTTAAATATGTGACTTAGGGATAGGCATGGCAACGGGGCGGGGTAGGGGCGGGTTTTACGTTTCCCCCCGCCCCCGCAAATTTAAACCGCCCTCGCTCCCGCCCCAATACTTGTCGGGGGTAAAATCTAGGTCCCCATCCCCGTTCCCGGCGGGG